AATACAACAAATAAAATTTGTGTAAAACCTTACTGCTTTATCATCAGCAACTGGAATAGTGCCGTGCATGTAATGAACTGCAACACAACTATTGAGTCTTCTGCTGGATAAAGCCTTCTGATTTCCCTTCTACCTTTCTTTCCCCTGCCTTTTTAGTGGGCTTCATTTCCACTGTTGATCCCTCAACCAACCATCTCAAATATTCCTTTGCTGCAATTATCATATGTGCTAAGAATTCCAGAATCCAAACTTCCTCTCTAGCTCAGGCAGGTCCTTCTGAGTTTGAGATATATATCATTCCTTGGGCTTCACATAGGCACCTAAATTCAATTCTACAGGTCCAAACTGAACTCATCATTTTTCTCCCTTGTTCCAGTTTCCACCTTCTGTTCCCCAAGTAATACCTGAGTTATTATGGATGAGTTCTTGCTCCCCATTTCCCTTCCCTCACCACCAATCTTGACCATGTCTTCAATCTGTCTACTTGGATTATTTAGTGTAACAGTCTCTCAATGTGTATTTTGCACCGCCCCGCCCCCCTCATTTTTTTCAGGAAAAAACTTAGCCTAAATGTAACTCCCTCTAGGAAGCCTTCCCAAACACATAACTCCAAGTCTGGGTTAAGGCCCCCTGACGTGCTCTCAGAGCATCCAGTACTTCTTCATCCACACACTTGTCCCACCTTGATGTAATTGCCTTTAACAAAGGAAGCATACAGTCAGGCATTGTCAGGGTAGGGATCTAGCTCAGTGGTAGAATGCTTACCTAGTATGCACAAGGCACTGCGCTTTTCTTTTTTCTTTCTTTCTTTCTTTTTTTTTTGGTAGCAGGGATTGAACTCAGGCACTCAACCACTGAGCCACATCCCCAGCCCTATTTTGTATTTTATTTAGAGATAGGGTCTCACTGAGTTGCTTAGTGTCTTGCCATTGCTGAGTTAGTGATCCTCGTGCCTTGTCCTCCCGAGCCACAGGGATTACAGACATGTGCCACCATACTCAGCCAAGACACTCTGTTTGATTCCCACTACTGAAAGAGAGAAAGAGGGAGAGAGGCTTTCATTCAAATTAGTAAGTATGCCTACCATCTTTTATTTCTTAGAACATTAAAAAAATGTGTTAAATGAATATCAAATGGGGATATCAGTAATTGAATGTAATTTCCACAAATATACCCAGCACTGTTTTTTATTTTGAGAGAAGAGTCTCACTAAGTTACTGAAGTTGATCTTGAACTTGTGAGCCTCCTGCCTCAGCCTCTCAAGTTGCTGGGATTATAGGTGTGCATCATCAAGCCCAGCATCTATCACCTGATCTGATGAACATTCTTTTAATTTGGAGGTAAAGTAGAATATATTTGGATTACCATTTCAACTGGTTAGTTTGTGTCATCAAGGTAACATACACTTCATAGCAGATTTTTACAACTATTGACATTTACTTCTAAATAAAAATTGTTTTCATTTTGAAATTCCACTTCTATAAACTCATCACAAAATATATTTTACAAGTGAGCAAAGATTAAGAACATTCATTAGAGTATCTTTTGTAAGTAGACAATAAAAGACTGGTTCAATAAATTATGGCACATTAACACCAAAGAGTATGAGGTAGCTACTAACAAGAATGAAGAGACTTTTTCATACTAATGCTAAAAGCTACCCAGAATATCTTGTGAAGTGGAAAACAAACAGGTTATAAAGTGTATAGGATGATCACAATTTAGTTTTAGAAAATGTTCATTCATACTTAATGGGGAAAAGGCCAACATTTACTAAAAACTTAACTATTGTCAGGCACCATTTTAAGTGCTTGACATATTAAATAGTATAGGTACTGTTATTATTCCTATTTTACATATGAATTTTCAGATGAAAAGAAGCTAAGTTCTTGTCCAAGGTCATTAGTGACTGGCAGAGCTAGTTTCCTGGAAGACAGGCTCCAAAGAATAGAATAACATAGATTGCTAATGCTGGTTGTATCTTAGCAGGTAGGTTTAGATGAGACTTTTGTTCTTGTATATTTCTGTAAGGTTTAACTTAAAACAAAACAAAAAAATAAATTTCAGCTGGGTGCAGTGGTGCACTTCTGTAATCCTGGCAGCTGGGGAGGCTGAGTCAGGAGGATTGTAAGTTCAAAGCCAGCCTTAGCAACTTAGCAAGATTCTGTCTCAAAAAAAGGCGGCTGGGGGGGGGGGTGGCGGGCAGGGTGGCTGGGGATGTGGCTCAGTGGTTAAGCATTCCTGGGTTCAATCTTTGGTAACAAAACAAAATGTTACCTTTTTGGTATAGAAAAAAACAAAAAAAAAGGTAAAAAAGGAAAAATTGCTTTCCTGTTCACTGGCTAGGCATGGTAGAAGAAAGTGGTTTGGTGAAGACTAGTGTGTAATCTATTGTAGCACTTGCATATGCTAGACCTATTGACATTTTAATTTTTTCTCCTCAATATCTCCAGAGGAGTCTGCAGGAATTCAATTAAAAGTCTGGGAGTCAGGGGATCCTAGGGTTTTGAGATTCATTAACTGCTTTGCTCTAAGTTACAAAGGGAAAAAAGTAACTCAACCAAGGGGTTGAATTTCCACAGTTGGTTAGAGGCAGAGTCCTYTTTGATTCAGTCAGGGCCTCTGGCAGAGGGAAGGCAGCTCCACACAATAGCACTTATTAAAACAATAAAGGCAGTGGAAAGAGCCTGTCACAAATACTTCCATTCCACCAAAAGGACACTTGAATGTAAGCCTAATGTGGCTTCAAGTCCTTGAATGATTTTTTGTTGCTAAGAAAATGACCAATAATAAGGTAAAGCAAGTCAGTTCCAGACCCCATTCTTCTGATTTTTTAAAATATTTTTTTATTTATAGATGGACACAATCAATACCTATATTTATTTTTATGTGAACCCAGCGCCTCACACGAGCGAGGCAAGTGCTGTACACTGAGCTACAACCCTAACCCCCCATTCCTCTGATTTTAAGGTCTATCTGGCTCCTGCATACCCAGATGTGGTCTCCCTGGTTAGAAAATAATTTGTGTAGGTTTTTTTTTTTTAAGTATGTCCCCTAGTTAAAAGATAATTTAAAAAAAAAAAAGTAATAAATGATTATAAAAAAATAAAACAGTAACTACATCAGCATTCTGAGATATGTAGTTTTGAAATTTTGGAACACTTTCTTCTAACAGTCTTATATATGGATATTATATAAATACATATTTTTAAAACTTGAACCACACTCTAGTATTCTATAATTCTGTATCATTTTTTCACTTAATATGTAAAGATTTTCTGACAAAAATATTCTTTGAAAAATAATTTTTAATGGCAGCATAATACCTCATCATATTGATATGACAATTTTTATTTAAATAGCTCAAGATCTCTTTACCAGATCTAGAAACAGCAGAACAGGTTCAAGAAAGGGTTCCTTCATTTCCTCTTGTACATTAACTGCAAGAGACTGCAGGATACCGCCAGGGGTCAGTGCAGAGCCATCTTCTTCAACAGAAGCTATTACCATGCAATTCTGCAAGTAGCCTTGATGTAAGAAAACTGGTTATGCAACAATCCATATTAATAAATTCTATCTACGAGGCTAGAGAAATCCAATTCACATTATTATATTATTACATAAGAGTAGGCTTCCTTATACATATTTCTCAGATTAAAAATGATCAGTCTTCCAAATTAATTTAACATTTCCAAAAATAGAGATACTTTATAAACAATGTCTATTAATATAAGACGTGGTGTTAGAACCTGTTCTCACCTGATTTGTGTGAGATCAACTGTGCATAATATACTTGGCTTATTTGATACAATTGTTGGGTACAACGCAGCATATAAACTCATATAAACTTAAAATTATACTATATTTTAATTATATGTTAATCAGCTGTTTGGATGAGTTATCTCCTACAAAATAAAGAATTCCAGGTAGTAATTTGACTATGAATAACGAGATACAAGGGCATATAGTTTAACATCATCTTGGATTATTCAGTCAGTTTTCTTCCCCACAGCCATTGCTCTCCGGTTTTCAAGGTCATTGTAAAATTAGTCATCTATCGTTCCTAAAAGCTAAAGTTATCATTTATAGTCAATTTGGTTTTGGTTATTTTCTATCCTTATTTACCTGAGGCTCCTTCAGGAAAATTACTGTGAGCTCAGAAATAGCTTAAATAACTTACAAGTAGGTGGATAACAGGGATCCAAAAGGCATTCCAGGCCCAAAATGCTTGACAGGCATTCGTGGTTGGCCTTCCTGGCCCCTCTGAACCCAGAAGTTACTACTAGGAACAAAAGATACCCAGGCTTCTGATTCAGTCTTTCACTCTTCCTTCTGTCTCCATGACCTCTTCGGTTCTTAGGGCCCCATCATTTCACATATGGGATGGAAAGGAGCTGGGGCTAGTGTCCTAGGTACCTGCAGCACTCAAACTCAGCTTGATGATGGCTTTCTGGGGAGCAGCCCAATCTTCTGACAGGTCTACTCTGACCAATCTCAGGACATACAATGGTCAGGAAAAAGAGGTCCTAGGGAGTCCCTTATCACTGACACCTAATTTTCTACTGGGCTAGAACCTTAAGCTCTCTGGTGACAGAAGGGCACAGAGGCCACATCAAATGAAGATACATGCACAGCACACCCCACAGTGTGGGCAGCTCCTATAGAGAGTGGTCCTGCATTTTCTCTCTGAGGTCACAAGGTGCCAGCTGAGCAGTCTGTGCTCTAGATAAGGAGAGTTCTTGTACACTGTAGATGTTTGAGAAATAATAGTTACATGAATGAATATCAGTATTAAGCCATAAGACCAGTATTAGACCACAGAGTGCCTGGATACAATCATATTTCTATGGCCAGTCAAAAAAATAAGCAACAAGCTGGGTATAATGGGGTATGCCTATAATCCCAGATACTCAGGAGGCTGAGGCAGAAGACTCACAAGTTCAAGGCCAAACTGGGCAACTTAGTGAGACCCTGTTTCAAAGTAAAAAGTAAAAGGATTTGGGGGTATAGCTTAGTGGTAAAGCATCCCTGGGTGAAGTCCCCAGTACTACAAAACAACAACAACAAAAATCTGGAATTGAAGGACAGAACTAAGCATGGGGTACTGAAATAGTTAGTCTATAAGTCCAATACCCAAATGAATGCAGAAAAGCTCAAGAGCCATACAACAGCAATGCAGCAACCAAGATCAACCACTGTCATTATTTAAGAATAGGATCCAACTGGGCATGGTTGTGCACATCTGTTATCCCAGTGAGGCAGGAGGATCCCAAGTTCAAGGCCAGCCTGGGCAGCAAGACCCTGACTTAAAAAATAAAAAGGGGCTAGGGACAGAGCTTAGTGGTACAGCACCCTTGATTCAATCCCTAATACCATAAACACACACATAGACGTACCCACACACAAAGAGTGGTTTTCAATATATAGGGCCTTGAGGAGTTTACAATTCCCACAAGGGCCAACTACCTGAGATCACAGTCAGATCAGCTGGCTGATCCCACCCTGCATCCAGGAGGGCTCTGAAATACCAGCAGTGCCAACAAAGCAGTCCCAGGAAAGTGTGATTCCCCTGGCTTCAAAGCCACGAGTAATGGCCTTTGACCTCCTAACCTGTTAGGCTTCCCACCTGCTTCAGTCTCAAAGATTGCTGCAGATGCCTGTGCTAAAGAATGAGCTGTCCCTTGCCTAAGAAGGAGCCCACAAGCACATATGTCCTGGTCATTCAATGTTGTCATAGACATGAATCACATCCTCATAGTTGCCAAGAGCCTGGATGAGATGAGCAGCCTTCTCCAGGTCGGGGTCAGCCAGTCGCACTGTTGAGGTGGGGATGAACTCCAGTGTACAGGACACAGAGCATAAGCCCAGAGAGTCCAGCTTGTTCCTCACTTGATGCAGTGAAGAGGCATCACAAATAAACTAGGGATAAAAGAAAGTCAGAAGGTATTAAAACAAAGCCAGATAGAACTTTGCAAAGTTTCAAGTGGAACTGCTGTACTGTAATATATCATTGGGTTAAATTCACAGTTTTCAATATTCTGACTCCTTCTCATCATCCTCAGTAGAGTAGGCCCCTTATCCAGTATTCATTTCATTAATGTTCATACAATATGTGAACTCTTTTCCTCACCTGTACCCTGGGGCACAGGAAGAAACAAGAGAGGCATGTTAAGCCCACCAAAGATAAAGACTTCAAACTCACTTTAAAAAGGTTCTTTTCTTCTTCATCTTCAGTTTCCTTGACATCTTCAGCTCCTGCTTCAATTGCCAGCTCCAGGGCACGCTCTAGGTTCACAGCTTTCTTCTCTCTGTCTTCCACTCCAACCACAACCACCCCCTTTTTGTCAAAAGAATGACGAGCTCCTTCTGTCATCATTCCCCTGAGAAGAAAGGAAATGGGCCAGAGTGCATGGATGCCTTTAGACATTCAGCCTCCACAAAGCACAGACTTTAACACCACCTCTTCCTCACTGGGCCTATAGAGCAAACATGGACATGGAGCAGCTCCCTCCCTGAGGAAGATGCAGCTAATGCTAGGTAAGGAATAGTCTAAGAACATCCCCACCCTCTATTTCTGCCCTGATTGGAGTCTGAAGGATACAAAGACTTTGCTAATTATTTCCTGGAGTCTTAAAGACTCCAGTCCTGGTAAAACATTTTAAGACCTGACCATTATATAGCTACAGATGGGATAATGGGACACAGATCCTGTCTACACAGATGAACATGTCTTTTGGATCCTTCCTAGAACAGAATATATTAAGATCAAATCAATTATGCCAGGCTGGGGTTGTGGCTCAGTGATAGAGTGCTTTCCTAACACATGTGAGGCTCTGGGTTCGATCCTCAACACAACATATAAATGAATAAAATAAAGGTACTGTGTCCACCTACAACTAAAAAAATATTTTTAAAAATTCAGTTATGCCAGTGGATTCTAATAAGGAGAAGGTATGCTTATAATTTGAAATACCACAAGAAGTCAACAGTACTTACCTTGCATAGATTAGAACCAGAAGGCTCTGTTCCCTCCCACACTTCTCTCCCCTAGACACACACCTACCCATTCTTGTTCAGGATATGTCGAATGTCTGACTGGCACTTGGAGCCACTGTTAGATAACGCCTCAATGAGCAGAGAAGAGCCACCAGGGCCTCGACCCTCGTACAGCAAATAAATGCCCTTAGTTTTCTGCAATAAATAACACAAACACATTTTCCTGTTTCCCAATTCCCTCCTACACGCCAAGTCCAAACCACGGGCACCACAAAGTTGGCTTCATAAGATGGGCCTCTAGGCTGGAGCCTGGACTCTCAAGTCTTTATTTCTGTCCCCACCTTCTCAGAGGAGGCCCTAGGGACCAACTTTTGAGGTAACTGAAAACATCACCTCTTCTCGGAAGGGAGTCTGTTTTGGTTCCCTGGTCCCTTGAATAATCAGCCATCTCTGAATTCTGCTTCCTCCCCTCCCCAGCCAAATCCCACATCTGTCCTCCCAAGTCACCCCCACCAGGATTCATCCTCCTACATCCTATTTTACATGAAACCCACCTGTTAAGTCTCAATGCTCCTACCCCTGGATTGCTGAATACCGATGCATAAAAATCATACAACAGGGCCTTGTCCTAAGAGCTGGTGAAAATAGCATGGACTCAAAATTCAAACACTCCAGAATGCCAAAAATCAAATTCATCTGGACTCCCCACACCTCTTACTTACCCCTGTCTACGCATCCAATCTCTACTACTCTTTTCAAGCACCCTGTCCTGCACCTTTCTGGAACTTTCAACTGATGACTTTTCTTACTCTTTCACAAAGGAAATACAGGGACCCTGGGTGGAAGAAAATTGTATCTCTGCCTCTGTCTACATAAAGGCACTATGCATAATGTTAGAGCATAGTTTCTGGAGTCTGATTCAAGTCTGTCATTTTCTGTTTGAGCTAAGTCCAGTCACCTAAACATTCTGTGCTTCAATTTCCACTTAAGATCATTTTGAGGATTCATTGAGATAATGCATATAGAGTTTTTAGCAAAGTATTTGGCCTGGCATAAACACCCAATAAACACTAGCTATTAAGATGATTACTAACTCCTTCACATCATTCTTCCTTGTCCCAGAGGAAAAGTACCCCTCGCAGGAGTTCAACATCCCTGCTCCTCCCACCATCACTATCGCTGTCACCCTTTGCCCTTCTACTGGCTTTTCTTCTACAGGGCATAAACATTTGAAAAAGAAAAATAATCCTTCTTCAAACTAATATCAGGGCTTTCCCCACACTGTGCCCATTCTTTCTATCCCATCCCATCACAGCTTGGTTGGGAAGTTCTGGAACACCATCTACTCATCCTGCTTCTGACTGTGCTCCTCCAAACCCCAGAGGCACTTGGGTTGAGAGTGTCTGATAATTTAAGGAGTGTTTGGTAGCCTTCCAAACAGACCCTGTGGGAACTGTGTTCAATAGCAAGAACATTAAACTGAAGACACACCTCCATTTTTAGTGCTGCCTCAATCGTTGATTTGGGCATATGCTTGCTGCGACACACCTCTAGGATATTAGCTAGGTGGCTGTTGCTCTCAGGGTCAGGGCCTCCCTCTGAAATAAAGAAAAAAAGAGTCAGCAAAAATATCTCATTACAGCATGGGAGAAAAAAGGGATTTACAGCCCTACTTCCAGCCAAAACAGTGGCAAGTTACCATTTCATTCATTAAAACAATGTACCCATGCTGAGCACAGTGGACAGGCCTGTAATCCCAGCCATTGAAGATGCTGAGGTAGGAGGATCAGGAGTTCAAAGCCAGCCTGGGCAACAGTAAGGCACTAAGCAACTCAGGGAGACCCTGTCTCTAAATAAAATAAAATAAAATACAAAGTAGGGCTGGGGATGTGGCTCAGTGGTCAAGTTCCTGAGTTCAATCCCCAGTACCAAAAACAAACAAACAAAAACCAAAAAAACAATGTATCCAGTACCTGCATGGAATATAGGAAGTATTTTGGAAAATAAATTTCTAATTCTCTGCGTCTTTGGGAATGGTTATCATTCTGCTAGGTTTTGGCAAACTCTACTTTTCATTAGATAAAATGGTGAGAGACACTGATGATAACAATATCTCCTAGATTTATTAATACTCCTTGCTCTAATTCTATTACTTTGTGCATAATTACTGAAATGTTCATATGACATTGTAAGTACGCTGTCTCTGAGACTAGGGGCTGTATCTCATAATCTTTGTATGATCAGTGCCTGTCAGGAAATAAAACATTCCATACTGTTAGTTGAACTTAATATCAAGAATTCTTAGCTGGATATGCCAACTCATTCCTGTAATCCCAGTTACTCAGGAGGCTGAGGCAGAAGAATTCCAAATTCAAGGCAAATCTGGGCACTTTAGTCAGACCCTGTCTCAAAGTAAAAATTTTAAAAGGGCTGGGGATGTAGCTCAGTGGTAGAGTTCTTGCCTAGCATGTGCAAGGATGTGGGTGATCTCTCAGTACTGGAAAAAAAAAAAAAATCCAAGAGTGAATGGCTGTTGGTGTTAGCCCTTCAGTAAAACACATACATACATACACACAGAATTCAGAAGAAAAGGAATCAAAAGAAATACCAGGCAAGAGTTCTAGAGGCAAATTAACATTAAATGAATGCTTATTATGTTCAGTAAAATACTAAAAAGCAGGCAAAATCCATTTTACAGAAAAGGAAACCAAAACCCAACAAAGTTAAGCCACTTGTGCAAGGTCTTGGATTAGAATCCAAGTCTTCCTGATTTCAAAGTCCCTGCTTTTAACAGGATTTTTTTTTTCTCTACTCCTATGGGTGTCTGACACTAAAAAGAATACAGACTTTTTAGGGTGCTACAAAACTGGGAAAAGATATGGCTGCAAGCCTACCTTCTAAGAAAATATGTCTCAAGAAACCCTAATGAGGCAAACTGGGGCTTAGGCAAGCAATAGCCTCTGCCACAACCTACATGCTACAAAAAGCAACTGCAGAGGGCTTGGGTTTGAGACATATATCTGACTTGAGGATTTGTTTCTATGGAGCTCCTAACTACAGACTTGGATGAAGTCACTTTTACTTCTTATCTTTCTTTCTAGGGCAGCTCTCTTTTTAACAAGAAAAAGTGTTTGGAAGAGTGAATGAGGGACATCCAATGTAGACAGGTTCTGAAGGTTAATGAGGTGGGTAACAGTGGTAATTGGGGAAAGAAAAGAAAATGAAGGTCTCGGGATCAGGGTGCACCCTAGCGCAACCCCAGGAGGCAAGCGAGACAATAGGGTCGGAGAGGGCATCGGCGGCCAGAAGGGGCTATCAGGTTCTCACCTTTAACCGCCAGGCGGATGCTCAGACAGAGTTTGGAGAAGATGCGACTCCTTTCTGTATCCTTGGGACCTTTAATGTGCCGGACTTTAGACCATTTGTTGTGCCCGGCGAGGGACGCCGCGGTAAGGTGCAGCTTCTTGCTCGCAACAGGGCCGTAGCCCGGAGGCTCTGGGTGGGAGGCGAACCTAGATGCCGCAGGGAACCCGGGGCCTCGCGCCCGCAAGCATCGGGCAGTTGTTTTGCTCACGTTGGCGGCAGCCCAAAACGCCATCGGCTCCCACTCTTGGCTGCAACTTCCAACAGCAGCGGCTAAGATGAGCCCGTCCTGTCGGCTGCCGGAACGAGTAGGTTTGGACGCTGAGCTTGCTTCCGCCGGTCACGCCTGCCTGCAGCAGTCTAACGAGGAATAACCTCCGCACTGTCCTCCCGGCAGCCAGATGTGGGGAACCTTGAAGGAGTAGTGCACTTCCTCTCACAAGTCCGTTTCAAAAACAGGTCCCCATCGCCCGCAAAGTCCGTTCCGTGGCTTCACTGTACTTGGCTCCTGTTTTGTGGTTCCCAAGAGTCTGAGGCGTGGCCTAGTGTTCAGTCCTTCCGGGTTGCTTGGGGGAGCACCGAACTTTATGTCCCACAATGATTTAATAGGGATACATCTGGTTTATGAAACTGATTTTGCTTCCAAATTCCTTCCTAACACTGAGCCAGTCCAGAATAATAGGTCGTCTGCTGCTGTTGCAAAGAAATATGTCGTTTAATTGCCTCGTTTTAAGGTAAGAAAGCCGCCCTCAGAGAAGTGAGTTATCTAGACCTTTACTCTCTGACTCATTTACATTTACTCTCTGGCTATAAACAAGGATACCAACTTTACCAACGTAGAAGAGTTCAAAACACAACACAAGCCCTTTGAGCTTTAAAGTAATAAATTCTAATATAAATGACAGCAGTAATCATAGTGATTAAGCTCCTAAACACAAGAGGTTCATTAGGGCACATTCAGATGAGCCACCGGCTTTTGGGGGAGAGGAGCCTTTTGTAGTTAAACTCGCTGCTTTAATTTCTGCCCTGTGGCTGAGTTCAAGCTTTGGCTGTTTCATTTACTAGTGCAACGTGGGGCAAATTCCTTTACTTTTCACTTCCTTAGATATAAAATCTAAGATTGAGGTAGAATAGAAGAAATAAAAATATATAGGCAGAAAGGAGACATAAAGATAAAAGAAATTCTGCATAATATTTCAGGCCAGTCACTCCCTAAGCCAGTGTCTCCTAGGCCAGTCACCCACGAATTCCTGTGAAATCTGTAATTCTACCTTTGCACTGTTGTTAATCAACACCCCCCCAATAAATATGTTAAATAAAGAGAGATGTAATATTTTGAGAAACCTATAATTTAAGGGACTTTCCAGTGCTATTGATCAGACAATCAAGAACACATCGCCTAAGGATCCTGAGATTGCCCAGACCACCATAAACTGTCGAGATCACTAGACCGGTATCTTTCTCATACCTCCTCTCAGCAAGTTTCTTTTAAAAGAAGAGCCAGAGCCTGGCACAGTGGCACAATTGGTAATTCTAGTGACTTGAGAGGCTGAGGCAGGAGGATTGCAAGTTTGAGGACAGCCTCAGTAACTTAGGCCCTAAGCAACTTTGTGAGACTCTGACTCAAAAACAAAATATATAGGGCTGGGGATGTAGCTCAGTGGTAAAGCACCCCTAGATTCAATCCCCAGTACCTAAATAAAGAGCCAGAATTTCCAAACCACATCTCTCATTCTCAAGATGGCCTGTATTCTCACTTGAATGTGTATTCCTTGCTTTACCTCCAAAAGCATCTATCTTGAGATTGTCAGCATTCTCCCTGAACACATATCTACCTTCCTAAATAACAGGAAGTAGACCTCTGTTTATGCCTCTGACTGATACACACTTGAAATTATTTTCCATCATTTAAGGAAAAGATCTTGCTAGTACTGAGTCAAATCCCCCCTTCCCTTTGGGATCTCCTAGAATCCTTCTCCAGAGACACCTATTCTCCAGTGTCAGGATAATGGGATAATAGATGTAAAGCACACAGACATAGATTTATTATTATTATTAATTATTATATTTTATTTGTTATGTATTATTTTATTTGTATATTTTTATTATATTTTGTTAATATTTATCATTTTATTTTATTACATAAGGACCTCCCTAATCCAGCTACTCATTTTGCAGTCTCATGTCCTGATGCTGCACTCCAGTGTGAGGAAAGAGTTCACTATATCCTTCCTCAGCTCCTACCACCTGACCCTTTCACTGGAATTACAGTGGTACACCACTATGCTCAGCTCTGAGTACAAAATCTTATCACCTCTTTGCATCTGTTTAAAATGCCTTCGTTGTCTCATTGGTGAAATCTTTATCATCTCCCAATTTGGCTATCACCTTCTCAGTGATCCTTCTTATGGAACTTCTTCAAAATTTTAGCTGTAATTTTTTTCTTGTGGTGCTAGAGACTAAACCTAGGTCCTTGTAGCATGCTAGGCAAGTGCTCTGCCACGGAGCTACATCCTTAGCCCTTTAACTGTAATTAATAGTTCACTTAGTAATGTGTGTGTGTGTGTGTGTGTGTGTGTGTGTGTGTGTGTGTGTGGTGCTAGAAGTGCCAGGATCTTGAGCATGCTAGGCAAGCACTCTATCATTGAGCTATACCCCCAGTCTTTTTAAAATTTTGAGACAGGGTCTTGCTAAGTTGCCTAGGCTGGCCTAAAACTTGTGATCCTTCTGTCTCAGCCTCCTGAGTAGTTGCAGTTACAGGTGTGCACCAATGTGCTCAGCAAATTTAACTTTTTAAAAAATCCAGGCTTCTTAGTGATGAACGCAGGCAGGCATCCTCTTCCTTGCAGATTAGCAACACCATATTGCTCTTAATACTTCTCCCAATTCCTTTTAAGCACAGACCTATGTCTTTTTTTTTTAAAAAAAATGCTTTGTCCTTAGCACAATTTTATTTAATTTTTGGTGGTGCTAGGGATTGAACCCAGGGTCTTGTGCATGCTAGGCAAGCACTCTACCAATTGAGCTATATCCCCAGCCCCCAGACCTATGTCTTTGCTGGGCTCTATTATACTTCACTTTACCTGGTTAGTTTTCATTCTTCCTTCAGGATGTAGCTCAGGTTGTCAGGCTTGATGGTGCATGTCTATAATCTCAGTGACACAGGATGGTGAGGCAGGAGGATCACATGTTTGAGGCCAGCCTCAGCAACTTAGCAAGGCCCTAAGCAATTTAGTGAAACCTGATTTCAAAAATTAAAAACAAAAGTGGGGGCTAAGGATGTGGCTTAGTGGTAAAGCATCCCTGATTCAATCTTCCCCCCCACCCACCGCAAAAAAAAAAAAAAAAAAAAAGATTCAGCTCAAGCATTATTTCCTATCTTAAGATCAATATCTACAAACTCTCAGGTTGGGCTGAGGTGCCCTACTCTGCCCTCATATAACCCTTCATGCATGCTTGTATTTTGGTACTTACCTTTTTTTATATCAAAATGCTTATGTCTCTCCATTATGATACTATTCCTGTGCCCATAGTAGGTTTTGAAAAAAAAATGACTTTATTAATACATCCCACATGTAATACAGGCCATCAACTTAAAAATGATTTTTGGTATATTTACAGAGTTGTGTGGCCATCACCATAATCAATTTTACATTTTCATCATTCTCAAAAGAAACACTATATCCATTAGCAGTCACTACCATTTCTTCCCAATTTTCACTGCCTGAGGCAATAGCTTCTGTCTCTGTATATTTGACTGTTGGACGTTTCATACAAATGAGATCATACACTATGTGATCCTTTGTGATTCACTACTTTTTTGCTTAGCATGTTTTCAGGGTTCAGTTATGTTGTAGCACATCAGTATTTCATTCCTTTTTATTGTCAAATAATATTCCATTATATGAACATACCACATTTTATTTATTTACGTTTCCACATTCTATTATGAATAATGATGCTATGAATATGTGAATATGTGTAAACTTGGGAACTTCACTTCTCTTGGGAATATGAGTGGAATTTCTGGGTCAGGTCGCAATTCTATGTTTTACCTTTTTGAGGGACAGCCAGACTGCTTTGCGGAGTGGTTGCATTACTTTATATTCCCATCAGCAAGGTATGAGGGTTCAGTTTCTCACACCCTCACTAAATTTATCTTTTTGTAATTGTTACCATCTGAGGGGTGTGATGTGTTCTCATTGATTTGATTATACTTCCCTTTTGAGTAATAATGTTGAACATCTTTTTTTTTTTTAAATCGTGTATGGATTGTATTTGTAATATATATATATACATTTTTTAATATTTATTTTTTAGTTTTTTTCGGCGGACACAACATCGTTGTTTTGTATGTGGTGCTGAGGATCGAACCCGTGCCGCACGCACGCCAGACAGGCGCGCTACCGCTTGAGCCACACCCCCAGCCCCAAGTTGAACATCTTTCTATGTGCTCACTAGCTATTCATGTTACGTTTTATAATTAAATGTAGTTATGTTACCTTAGTAGCAAAATGCAAATTAATAGAATTCATATTCACAAATAAGTGCAGAAATCAAACAAGGTTGCGACTGTTCTTGTATCATCACCAGTCCTCCAGGGACAAACCTGTCATCCAACAGTCAAGCTGTTGCTCACTGCAGTAGGGGAGAGTACACACCAGAGGAATGGTGGGAGGATGGTATCTTGTCAGGTAAAGGATATGACAGTTACTATAGGATTATGGGGAAGGTGGAGATTTAGCCAAATTTAAGTGAAACAGTTTGATAGGCTCAAAGGAACACAGAGTATGCAAAAATCTGCTGACATCTGCTTGGACTGCAGAGGGCCCAAGGCATCAGTCTCCTCAACAGATATAAAGTTAAGATAAATTTAAAGTTGTGTTCACAAACCTCTGCCTGGAAGCCCTATACCTGGATTGGAAATCAAGGCTATGCGCTCCTTTCTGTCAAAGTGACAGCTCCTCCAAGTAAGACAGTCAGGATTCAAACAGCAAACTATGATTTTAGAGAACAGTTTCTTGGTGAATTTTTTTAAAAAGTAGTCACTCAGAAGAAAAATGTGTTTTTGACACTTTAAGCTTCAGCATGTGATTTGGAAAGAAATATAATTTGCTTTGACTCTGAAGCTGTTTTTATGTGTATTTTATTTTTTTGACAGGGCTTGGGATCACTCCCAAGGTGTAGGCACACACTAGTTCTACCACAGAGCTACATACCCAGATTTTTTTGCTT